GGCCAGGCTTTGTGCATTTGGTGCATCCTTACTTGAAGTTTGGTTATTCGCATAAGATTAACTTCTGGAGAACTAAAATTTCCATAGTTTAGGAAAAAACTGATTTGCAAGTTGGAAAAGAAATTTTAAAGATTTATTTATTTATGTATTATTTTCAATTTATATCCTGCCTTGCCTGCACAGATTTGCCTTCCATTTAAGTGTACTTCTACAGAATATTCTTCTAAGGAGCACATGGTAAAAGGAATAAGTTTAGGACATAAGAGCCAGAGAATGAAGAGAGGCAAGAGCAAGATGGCAGGGAACCAGGGATCAAATATAAGATTACCAATAAGCAAAAAATGTTTAAAATGGCTAACTTGAAAAGGAGGTTGCTTACCAGTAACTGGTGACCTTCGAGTGGTCATCTGTGCATTCACACCAATGGGGATCTAGTGCACAGGCGCTGGATCGATCGGTGCTGTAGCAAGCTCTTTTAACAGATTTTCACGCCCAGACCTCGGGCATGCGCAGGAACCCCACCGTGCATGCCCAGAGGGGTGGGTGCGGACGTCCCACCAGTTCCTTCAAACCGCCGCAAACCAACCTGTATTAAAAAATGTAGAAGCTGACAGCAGCGGGGAAGGAGGGCGGGTGGTGTGAATGCACAGATGACCACTCGAAGATCACCAGTTACTGGTAAGCAACCTGCTTATCTTCGTTGTGGTCTCTGTGCTTCACACCAATGGGAGATTAGCAAGCAGTAGCCTACCTGGAGGAGGGTGCTGGCAGGTCTTTTACTGCGTAGCCGAGGACAGAATGTGACGTCCCATGTTGTTACTGGTGTTGGTACAGTCATCTAGCGCATAGTGCCTGATTTAAGTGTTAGGCGTGGCCCACGTAGCGGCTTTGCAAATGTCATGCAGTGGTACTCCCTGGAGGAAGGCAGTGGAAGTCGCGACAGCCCTGGTAGAATGAGCCCTGATAAGGCCAGATAATGGCTGTTTGGCGAGTAGGTAACATAGATGGATTAGACCTACAATCCACTTTGACAGGCGCTGGGCTGTGATGCGAGTGC